ATATATTCTTAATTTGTTATATGTTCAATGTTCGATGTTAAACTCTTGAATCATTGATGATATTAGCAAGCATTCAAAGGGTTAAACGATCGAATTACCTATCGATCGGCACGCGAAAATGCATCGTCTAGCAGCATAAGAATAATAAGAATCGTTTAATTTTTAGCGACTTCGCGGAAGAGATAGTGCCAGAACGTATGCGCAGCGGGGATTACGTTCGTCGATTGATCTCCGGGAAGCAGAACGCAAAGAAAGACACGATAGAGCCGATTTCCTGGTACGAAGTGCCCGATCGAGGTAACTTCGGCAATCTGGCTTGCGTCAAGTATGTTGCCGGCAAGCCGCAATCGGTCAGGAAACCGTACTTCAAGGTTGCCGATTTACGTCCCTCGGACATCAAAAACGATGTCAATTTTCTGAGTTACTACAGCAAGAATCGCGAGGCGGCGGCTAACGCCTGTGAGTAATCTACTCGGTGGTTATATCGACGCAACTATTATAATGAAATGACAACTATGAACACGATAACTGACAATGAGACACAGACGATGAAAAGAAAAGAGAAACGACTCGAGAATGTACATCATGTTTCCTTTGCCGATTGAGACCTACGTTATCGTGCACAAATATTTGAAACAGTGTTGAATCATTGCAGATATATAAAATACAATTCAAACGAGTGTTTTTTAATTTGATTGTAACATTACGGATAATGGAATAGTTATTACCGATCGCTATAAATAAAACAGCAATAATTGAAAGCGACTGAAGATAAATTTTAAGCAGAGACATCTCAGAGATTTTAATTTTCGATATTGAGATATTTGAATTGGAAACATGTATCTTCAGTCAGGTTCAGACAAAATTTATATAAAATTGTTGATGAAGCGTCAGCTCTATTCGTTAGAAATGAAATATAGAACGTCAGTGATACAGGTATATTCTTTGTTTCAGAGCAGTTGATCTTAATTATTACTGATTTATTGTCAATTAGAAAATATAGTGGAAGAATATTAACTTTTATCAATATCAATCTTTCGATGGAATCGCACTAGGTGTTCAACTATTTGCGTACGATACTGTATATGTGAAACAGACGGTACGAACGAATGATTTTTTTACTGTACTCGAACACGAAATATGTAGGAATAATAGGAATAGCGAGGAATGTTTAATGTATGAATAACACGAATAATTCTCCCGAAATATATACGTAATTATTAATTAAAGCTCCTCAGAAGCTAAACTCGTCAATTCCATTTTGTCTTGAATTTCATTAATTAGATAATATAATTAATTTATTCAACGTATTAAAGAATACTTTCTTTGCATTTCAATCTATTTCACGTTTGATCAATGTGAATACTCGCGATACTATACGATATCGATGAAACGAAATTAGAAGTTAGAATGTTCGATGTTACTCAACATTGACATTCCTCGCATCACTGTCATCGAAATATATATCACGAAGGAAATTTTGGAAAATAAAAGCGGCCATGTGACGCCGTTGTGTGCACCTTTTTCTTTTTTAGTTTTTTTTTTCTTTCCCGCTCGGTTTTCTACTTTCTCTTCTCTTTTTTTGAATGGATTGCCATTGATCCGCCCTGATCTGACTGAATTTTTGCTGTGCTGTGTTATTCTTTATATTTTAGTGTACTTTTCCTCGTTCGTCACGTAGTGATCCTATTGATCATTTCTTTTTTTTCCTCGTATTTTGTTCGTTGCCATACTTTTTTCTGTGTCTAATGAAATATGTATGTACCGACGAAGGTGTGAGACAGAGCATCGTCCTTTTTTTTTTTTTTCTCCTTTTTGCTCTTCTGTGTCAAACTTTTTCTTTTCTTTCTTTCCGTTCCATCCTCGACTAAGTATGTAGACACGTATCGTCAATCACGCGCGTGATCGGATTCGCGAATTCGCGCGTACACTAACGGAATTGAACGGCAATTGCGACGATTACGACGACACGGCTTGAAAAAACTGGAAAATTGAAAACGAAAGCAAGATATCTTATACACACGAAGGCAAACTCCAGTGTGAGAACCAGATGACTGGGACACATACACGGGGTAAAAATGCCAGAGAGAAGAACCAGTTCGGGTTTTTTTCAACGTTTCAGGCAAAGGATGGAGGGATCGGGTTCCAGAGCTATACGAAGATCCAAGAAAAAACAAAAAGGACGAGGAGGAGAAAGAAAACGAGACACCCGCCGAGGAGTGACTACATTCGCGTTAAAATACCGTTTCGATTTTCTAAATTTACGAAAGTTACAGGCTTTTCATTTGGAAACACAGATTAGAGAAGGATTCCAGGGCTTTTATATAGAGATGGTTCACAGCACGTTCTTCGTTCTAAAGATCCCTATTGCACGTTGAAACATGCTGCGATGCATACGTCGACACTTGGGTTTCGTAAAAATCTACCATAAGCTTCAGTTTATCTTATTACATTATTGAGATTCTCGCAATCAGTTTGTCAAGTAATATCAACGTTCGAAATTCAACTTCGAAATATCAGATTATTGTTCACTTTTAGAATTATCGCTGATAAATAGGGGACGTGTTAATCACGAAGAATAAAGATCGAGAGAAATCGATTTTCGATAGTCCTTGGCTACTGAATTAGCATCAATTAAAGTTTTCAACTTGCACGTTTTTAGTAAAATTCGAGGATCTGAATGAAATTTAGTTGCAAGTTTTATTAACCATCAATGTACTATGCACATACATATTACACGCGATTTTATTATTTATTGTCACTGAGTATATTTGTTGTAAGAGAAACAGAATTATTGCACGCAACTAGTAGTTACAAGAGACATTGCAAGAGAAAATGCTCTATTTGGAATCTTTATGAAAAGGAAAATTGAAAGAGAAAAGAGTACTGTGATGAGAGCAAGTACAAACTATTAATGTGTATGTATATAGTACTTTGTACTTATACGATGGATAGTTAGTTAATAACGTAATATAATATAATGATAAATAAATAAATAAATAAAATAGCTCTAATATATACGTATGGATTTTGACGTATGGATTTTAATAAAATTAATTATTAAATTGTGTTCAGATGCATTAATTTTATTAAGAATTTGTTGTAAATTACGAGTGGTTCTAGATCAATTAAAAGCATCGATAGAAGTTATTTTTGATGTCGAGTCACCGATAGAGAACTACATATATTGCAGTATGAAATCTATGTGTCTATGCATGTATAGCAATATGTTTTAACGTGCACAGGGGCCTTAAGAATCGATCGCGTGTGAAATCTTTATTTCCGAAAGCGTTTCTGCGCGGGTGAAAAAGCCGAGAGATCGACAGTTGTAGATTTCATTAAAAAAAGATAGACATTTGTATCTATTTGATCCGGTCCCTGTGAATGATCGTAATTTCGTAACACGAGCGATCGTCCCCTGTCGTCCTATTCCAGTGAAAATTTGATCTCTTCGACACAAAGTTCTACGCACGACTCGAGTTAATCTACAATTATATTGGATATTAACAAAATGTTCATTTATTACGTTTGGTATCGTCAAATCTGTCCGAGCTTTGCAAAAAAAAAAAAAAAAAA